CCTACATAAATAAATCACATTTAGGGAATGAAGGGTTGATCTGAGATAAGTTATCTGATTTAGTCAAGTGTTTTTTTTCTCAGGAGAAAATCCATTTAAAATGTGGCTTTTGAATCTATCTACTTGTAGTGTTTGTTTATCAGAATAACTAATCAAATAAACTGATTAATTTTTTTTGATAAATATTATACTATAACTATACAATTTTTACTTTTATTTTTTTGCTAATTATTCCACATTAAACAAATCCTGTGAATGTCCACTGAAAAAAATGTTTTTAAATAAATTATGACTGATAATCCTTGTGCAATTGGTGAAACTGTAGAAATGTACAAATACGACCTGTCGTACAAACACATTTTTCTCTCGCTTCATTAGAAATCATTTCAGACTTTTTTCACTCCTGCTGCAGCCTTGTGTTCGTGGCTCGACATTGGTCACTAACAGAAAATCCCTTCTAATTATTTACACAGTATATAAAGTCTTGTTTTGATTGGTTCATTTTGCCTTTGTTGTGTGGAATAGTATTTTAATTTTTTTTTTTTAAATCACAATTTAATTGATTTTATTCAAATACATGTAGTTAGAATTCATTATATGACGTGACTTGGATGGAGTCCACTATTTAACTCTCATGTGACACATACAGTATATTAATGTCATGGTAATCATATATAAAATTATGTTAATAATCAGAACCATTTTCTCTGTGTTCGTTTGCCATAAAAGAGGAGAAAACAGGCAATAAAACCCACCAATGAATTTAACTGATGGATATTTTTATGACATCACTAGTGAATCATTCTGCTCATAAAAATAATGTCTTGAAAAACTCTGAATGTCTAATGCAGTACAGGGCCCAACAAGAAGAAACATTCATAATAATCGTAGGTATTTAACCTTTGTAAAGTGAGCTGGTTAAACAAAACTATTCGTCATTGTGTAAATAATGTTCCACTCTTCACCTGTTCAAGCAGGAGCCCTCTCATCTTCCTTTGATTTATTTCAGACACATCCCTTTGCGTTAATGTTCTCCGTCACATTTGTGTCATCAGTTTGTTTTGCTCCGTAGACAACATCTGAGGAGATAATAAAGCCATCCGATAAATGGAAAACAAAGCAGAGAAGTGAACATAGTCAGAGCAAGAGGAGAGCAGTGAAAGATGAACCGTGGTGGAAGGCTGTGTTAATTTCTTCACACCAAATGATCGTCAGAACGGATGAAATGATAGTTTTACGGCCTTCCTTAGCTGCCAGCCTCTGTGAGGCTGCAGGTTTTTATGGCACAGACTTGAACTATTAAAACGATGGCCGTATTTCAGGGAGTACTCTTTGGTGATCTGAAGTTAAAAGGAAAAAACACACACTACTGCATTTGACTGTAAAAATTCCCGGCAGCTTGTTATTTATTCACTGGTTTCACCTTTAAAGTTCATCATTAAAAACACAAAGTAGACACTTGTCCCGGCTGTTATATTGATGCCATCGCCTTCTGTCGTCCACAGTTCTCAGTATCCGAGGAGCCCAGGAAGAGGAGCCTCCAGATCCTCAGCTGATGCGACTGGACAACATGCTCCTGGCCGAGGGCGTAGCCGGGCCAGAGAAAGGCGGCGGGTCTGCAGCTGCAGCAGCGGCGGCGGCGGCCACCGGCGCCATTGGTGCCGACAACTCGGCAGAACACTCCGACTACAGGGCCAAGCTGTCCCAGATCAGGCAAATTTACCACACGGAGCTGGAGAAGTATGAACAGGTAATGAAGCTTGTACGTGTTTTTTTTTTACTTTGTTTAAAATGCATGTCGTTGAATTCAAAACTGTAATCAATGTAGAGTAGATGTTGTTATTATTGGTGTGTACAGAGAATTTGTGTCAGTGTTGTTTTTCTGATGGACAGCCAGACAGTGATGAGATCCAGTTAGTTTCCCATTTGTCACCTTAGTGATTGAAATAAAATACTATGGGCCAGTGTTTAGTAAATTACCGAAGAGGAGGACATGGTGGGAATGGCTGAGGGTTTAAAGTCTCAGACAGGAAACAGCTTTTTGATTTGTTATTACAATTTTAATTTATTTTGTATATAGAGAAATAAAGTTTAATAATTTTATCCATTAAGACTCAAAGGTTCTATACACAGGACTTTAATATCACACATCTTTCAATTCAACTTGTGTGCTTAAGTGCCTTGCCCAAGGACACTGCAGTAGCCTTGCCCCAGTGTTCCAGTGGACACATCTGTCCTGTTTTCCTAAACACAGAGAGGGGTGTAAGGCCCTATCCTGAAGTGAGACTATGGAAGAATAAGCAGTGTTTGAATTCTAATATGAATGAAGAGGTATACACCAGGGATAAAACACATTTAAAAAAAAAAAAAAAAAGCACTCAGCTCTGCTGCTTTTTAATGCACACAAAATAGTCTGTATCCCATGACAAGCCAAGCCTTTAGAGATGTTATCTTCAGCAGCGAGTAGGCACATTATCAGTCACACACCGGTTCTCTTCCAAAGACTCTAACTTCTTGTCATTCCCATGGAAGTCAAAGCGTTCCGGGTTTGTCATCTTCTCTGAGGAAGGCAAGTCATCGCTAACTGTCATAGTCAATACGCACCTGAGAGTTTTTGTGTCACCACGCTACGTACACCTCGCCAGCGTATGAGTGAGTTGTGTCTGGCGAGTGTGTGCAAGCAGAACGGCTGCTCCGTGCATCACTTTGACTGACGTAACCCTGGTGTTGACAAGCAACAGACACCTTGACTCTGAATGCAGTCATATCCAGTGACTGATTCAGACAGAGGGAGAACGAGGTAGACTGAAAGATGGAGTGAACAGAGAGGCAGACAGTTAAAACCTCTTGAATGTGAGCGAGACTGAAAGCCTGCTGTCATTTTAAATTTCTCTTCACTTGTCACATTTTCTCTGCCATTGAAGAGAAGCCCTTTTAATATTCACAGTATAGTGAGTCTGGCTGCCTCCGCTGTATGAATCTTCTGCCACATTTGTTTGACGTGAGACATCGCGTTGCATCTGCTCTTTTAATTCACACTGTTCTTATTACCTCTAACACCCACACTGTTACACTGTCAGCGCCGCTGCTACAAGACCACCGACTACCAGCGGAGCTGCAGCCTCTCCAGAATCCAATTTCATTCTTTTGTTCTGTCTGAAGCCGTCGAGCATCCGTGATAGTTATTCTTCTTATGAATCCTGTCTGTCTGTGCATCCAGGCGTGCAATGAGTTCACCACCCATGTGATGAACCTGCTGAGGGAGCAGTCTCGAACACGACCCATCTCGCCCAAGGAGATCGAGCGCATGGTCAACATCATCCACCGCAAGTTCAGCTCCATCCAGATGCAGCTGAAGCAGAGCACCTGTGAGGCTGTCATGATCCTGCGCTCACGCTTCCTGGATGCCAGGTCTGTGTGTGTGTGTGTGTGTGTGTCCGTGTAGGTGGTGCCACAAAACTCATTTATATGCATTAGCTGGAATGTTGTGCTCAAATGAGGAAACTGATGGCAATGATTACACGTTGTAACTGTTTGCTCTTTAGACGAAAGAGGAGGAACTTCAACAAACAGGCCACAGAGATCCTGAACGAGTACTTCTACTCCCATCTCAGTAACCCTTATCCCAGCGAGGAGGCCAAAGAAGAGCTGGCCAAGAAATGTAGCATCACAGTGTCACAGGTAAACAGACGAAACACACAGATTTGGAAAAAGTAGTAGTAGTAGTAGTAGTAATTGTAGCAAAGTAGCAGGCCTAGACGTTGCAGTACTACCAGTAGTACCATTTAAAGTAGTAATAGTTGTTGTAGTATTTGTAGTTGTATTTGTAATAAATGTGGCTGTAGTAGCACTGTATTCATAAAAGTAGTACTGGTGGTTGTACTGGTCGATTTGGTGTTAGTATTGCTGATACTTTAGTATTAGTAAAGGTAGCACTAGTACCAGTTGTTGTTCAGCTTAGAGTCAAAACAGTTGCAGTAATTGCAGTAAAGTAATCATCTTAATGAAGGGTGTAGTACTAATGATACTACTGTCATGATAACAGATGTAGTTTAATTAGGAGTAGTGTTAGTATTACTGAAGGTAAATTAAACCTCTGAAAACTGCAGTATACGGTAAGCTGGCTTCTACAGCAGTACTGTAATACCAAAGGGAGTGATACTTCACAGTACGGTGGTTGCAGTAAACATTTGGTCAGTGGCTTCAGATCTCTAACAGTGAACAGTGATAATGTTATGAATACAAATCACTCTCTCCCTCTTTCATCATTTAACTCACGCTGTTTGTTTTATGCGTGTTTTCCTGGTGCGGCAGCTCGGTGATTAGTTTAAATATCGCTCCTTAAAATAAATGAAAGATAAATATTTTCGGAACACGTGTTTGTTACGACTGTCTTCATGGAGATGGATACTAGTTCCGCTCAAAATGACTACACCGCTCATCTTTATAGGATTAAAAACAGTTGGAGCGCAGAGACCATAAGTCACAGACTGATTACTAAGTATAAAAATAACACAAGGATATTTACCCACGTAAATGTTGTTCTCTTTGTTTACATAAGCAACGGGAACTGTATACATCAGGAGCAGTAATGCATTTATATCTAAAAAAAAATCATTTATCACCTACAGCGGCCGTGTACTGTGAGAGTACAGTGATTTGCATTCAATTCAACATGTCGCCAATTCTTAATCTGCTCATATTTCTGTCCTTAATTTAACTTTAATTAAACCTTTATTTAGTCCCGCACTGAGGACATTTACCTGCTGCAGCAGCAGAGACACTATGATGTTGGCAGGAGAATTTAGATACGAATAAGAACAGGGGTAAGAAGAATATAGGGGTCACGTTCAGTGGTAAGAAGAATACACATGTATACAAATGTTAAATTTGTAGAATAAAAAAAAATACACAGTACATGTAAGCAAATATTACATCTTAGTGATGGCACAGACCACACCCAAATACTGCGTATAGCACAGCCTATTCTTATTAAACACAAACAACCCATATAAAAGTACACCAGAGGTACTCATTAATACTCGTATGTGAAGTAGAACGTACAGAATACAGATGTATTCATAATAATACTAAGGTGAAGTAGAAGTATTTACATTTACTGTCATACAATGTACAGCGGAGCTATTGTTTATTAAACATTTGTTAAGCGAAGTACCACAGAGCTATGTTCTACTGCACACGTCAAGTAAATTGTACTGCAAATATGCAAAGTATTTTTTAGGTTGTTTGTCATTACACATGTATGAAGTAAATGGAAAGTTATATTTTATTACAAATATGTATGTAGGAGTACAACAAAGATTTTTCTACAGTAGTAGTTTCTAAATACCATTGCCTATATTATTATACATACTATATGTTAAGTAAAAGTACACCACAGTCACCTACAGCCAGCCTTTCTATAGCCTACGCCTATATTATTATACATACTGTATGTTAAGTAAAAGTACACCACAGTCATACGTCTTATTAGACGTATATAAAGTATATCAAGTGAAAAGTACAGCAGGGTATTGTTTTTATTTATTTTTGATTATTTTTGAAATATTATGTAAAGTTAGCAGGTGTACTTTACCAGACCTGGTCTCTGTACAGTACATGGAACTATATATTTATATGTTTGCCGTGTCTTTGTGCTGACAGGTATCAAACTGGTTCGGGAACAAGAGAATCCGATACAAGAAAAACATTGGCAAATTCCAAGAAGAGGCCAACATGTACGCAGCCAGGACTGCGGTCAATGCCACCAGTGTGTCTGCCCACGGCAGCCAGGCGAACTCTCCATCCACCCCTAACTCGGCAGGTGAGACCCGCAGCTCGCTGTAATGTTTTGTGTAGATTGCGTTACATCAGCAGAACCGCCACCGTGATGACATCTTTATGGAACACAATAAAAGGTTCTGAGACTCCAGTTGCAACTCAAGAATTCAGTCTCTGGTGCAGTTCCGTGTAGACTAACAGAAAGCTAAACTAATCCAGTCATGCGGATGGGCTGTCTCGCTTTCCCCCATTTTTATTTTATTTATTCTTTGGCTTTTTCCATTACTTTCTACCTTATTTTCCTTCTCTCACAATTTTCTGTCCTCCCTCTCCCTGTTATCGACCTCTTGGTCTTGTGGACGTTAATTTTTCCTGCCTCTTGTCCGGTTGACCTGGTGCATGCCATTAAGCTGCTTAGAGGGCAAGCGCAGTCTTTTGTCATATAGAGACTTTCGCAACTGTATTGGATTAGGACCGGGTGTTGAAATCAAGTTACGCCATGGTCTCTTTACATCTGGGGAGCTGGGTTCCATTAAAGGACGAAGACTATTCTTTGAGTCTTCCTGCAGATCAATTATGACTTCCTTAATGAAACGCTAGCAGCATGGACATTTAACAACCATATGATCAATAAGCCATCATTTAACTGGACCTAAACAGTTTTATGATGATTTTCTGTCTCGGGGTTCTTGTTGGTGGATTTGTTTTCTTTAAAATTATGTGTCAGTGACAATTCAATGTGCACCTGCTGGGTTTGCACTGTGCAGGTTTGTGGAACTTGGCTTTTTTTCATGATGCCTGTCTCTATCCAACACTAACCCACATAATACACTTCTGCCAATGCATGATCTTTCTAACGTCTTTTCTATCCCTACTTTCCTCCCATCTCCTCTCCTCTCCTCTCCTCTCTTCACCTCACCTCTCCTCTTCTTTTTTCTTCTTCCCTTCTTTCCTCTCTTCTCCTCTCCTCTCCTCTCATTTCCACTTCCTTTTTCTCTTCTTATCTGTTCTCAGGTTCTGCTGGCTCTTTTAACATGTCAAACTCCGGAGACTTGTTCATGAGTGTGCAGTCCCTTAATGGGGACTCGTACCAAGGGGGTCAGGTTGGGGCCAACATACAATCCCAGGTAGGCTTCTTCAAGAGAAACATTTCAGAATTGCATAGAACCAAAACAGACCCAGTATTAGATGACACACTTAACACCCTTTAAATACACTAAAACTAAAATCTAGTTATAAATCTGTGAATTGATTCCTGCAACCAATTCTAAAAAACAACACCAAAATATTACCGCAACCTTTGTTTCCTAATTTTGCAATTTGGTTGTCAAGATTAGAATAAAGGCAGAAAACACTGCTATAAAAATTGTAAAGATTCAAATTTCTCATTATCATCAGTTGCCAAATGACTTAAAAGATGTAATTAAAATATATTTTTTTGCATGTGTTACTCATGAGCCAGCTTTAATACCAGAGATTCAACATATGAAGCTGGGTGTTTATACCAAGATGCACTCAGTGTCTGTGAGTTCAGTGCAGCTTTAATAAAAACGGAAATGTCATCAGTATAAATGTGAGATACAAATTCATCATTTCTTATAGTTTTTATTTTACTTCTAACCTGAGATTTTGTATTAGTATTCAATAATAACCATTGGTTCCCACTGAAGTTTGCAACCTTGGAAATTCCTGTAATTTAGCCAACATAATTACTGATGAATCCACTTAACCACTGACCACTCTGCAGTACAATTTGTCCTACACAGTCACACTGAGGTCGTGCTTATCCCGGGGCTCGACGTTAATGCAAAAAAACACTGCAAATAATTGCAGACAGTTTTGGAAATGGTGCAACACTCATCATCACTCCTGACAAAGCTTTCACATAGCCACTGGTGCACAGTCGCTCCCTGACCTTGTAATGGCGGACAGCGGTGACCAACACAGCGTTTTAACTCTCCTTAGATTAAGGAGTCGCCACCAGAAGTTATGGTTTCATTTAATTTTAGTACATTTTTCAGCATCATTTCTTTCTCCTTCCATCCCTCTCCCTTCTAATCATAGCAGCTCTCTAAAATGCTTTAGGTTGTTCATGAATATGCAAAAGAAGTCGAAGAGATAGTCAGGCTTGGCTTTAAATTATAGAAAGCCTTGTTACTTTAAGAAGATTATTTTTTTTCCTCCCTGTCTTGTCGCAGTGTCCTCTTAGGGATGTAGAATCAAAACACAGCCAAGGGAAAAAGACAGAATTTGACATGCTGGAATAAATTGGACTCCTGATTTGAAAAGTCCCTTCTAGAGCATTATATGGCGTGTCCGATTTTTACGTGTCATTTCGAGGCGATTGTATGCATAATTAGTTCTTGGCGTTTTTCTTGTATTCGTGTCCTTTTGCGTTGTCTGCTCCCAGCTTTGTAGTCACTGCCAAATCATTCGGATTCAATGTTTGTAACCTTTTCTTGTTTATGGTAGCCTTTCACTATCTCACTGACCTTTCCTTTGTGCATGGCTGCTTTTGTTATCCGGCTCTGCGGTCTGACCGGCCCTTTTGTCTGTGTATTCCCGCTACTCCAGGTGGCTGCCCTTCGCCATGTTATCAGCCAGACCGGAGGATACAGTGACAGCCTCGCAGCCAGCCAGATGTACAGTCCACAGGGCATCAACGTAAGACCTGTAAACAATCCCTCTCCGTCCTTCTCAACATTTCCTTCTGTGTCCTACTTTCTTTTATTTCCATGTTTATAATACTATGTCGTTGTGTGGCATGCTGGGATGCCACTTAGCAAGGTTTGCCAGGGTTGGGCTGATGTCCAGACAGTTGCCCCCCTTGTTCTTGTATGGCCCTAGGAGGCAAGCAGTAAGGCAGCTTCCAGGCTGAGTAGCTGGACTCGCTCCTAGTCTGTCATAAGATATTAGTGTTAGCACAGCACCTGCAGTGGACAGAAACAAGGACACAGGTGTCGTCGGCACTCACGTTGGCACCATAGGACAGGTCACATCCCTGACCTCACGAAAGTTGCTAATTTTTAACGCTTTAACGAGGCTGTCAGCGGCTCGTCCAGCTTTCTAAAGTCCCTCCGTGGGACGGAGCGGGGCAGTGTGGGACGGGCAGCACTGCAGGCGGTGTGTTAGCATGTAGATCCACAGCGACAGGCTGCACCAGGCTTAACAGAATCAATACGACAGTCAAGGGGACAGAGAGAGCGGGGCTGTGGGCTAACAGTCCAAGCACATTGGTCAGATCATTCGTACACTGGAACAGCCACACTGACAGCCATGCCTGCAACGACCCCGGTGCTAAAATAAGAACGGAGGCAGCGAAGCCTCTTCCAGCATGCAACAGGCTCAGCTGAAAACCAAGGCTTTTGTTCCGGTTTGTTGGAGGAAACAAATACTTTGAATTTGAGATGAATGGTCGAGGGTTTTTTAAAATAAGTAACACAATTAGTCACTTACTGAGTAAATTACATAAACAAGCGTGCGTGCGTCTGACAGGAAACATGCCCTGTTGTTGAAACAAAGGTTAGAATCTAAAGAAGAAAAATAGATGTTTTGTTTTTTTGTTAGGTTGCACAGAGCACTTTACTGAGGAAAAACAATGGCACAAACAAACTCTTTATTAACCAGGAGAGAGCAGAGAAAATCAGTGATTATCACAACAGGTGAACTGATTCTGTGTACTGTTCATGTACTGTTGCTGCCACTTTTTGAAAAACTAGGTCAAATGCCTTGTATGTGATAATACACTTTTACAGGATTTGTTTTACTTGGCATATAAGAGACGATAGAACCATAGGGGGGAAAAATGGGTAAAAAAAATGTAGTGATGGAAAACATGTTGAAGTGTATTATTATTCCTGACAACTCCTCTTGCCATCTGGATGCAAATGTTATCGTGTAAACAGCTGCAATTTGATTTGTTTTCTCTAAGAAATGAATGCTCCTTTATTATAATGGTTAGAGGACACCAGCCTAATGAGTGTGATGGTAAAGGGGCTAATAAATCCTAATGCCCCGTTTTCCATAAATCCATAATTTTTAAGACATAAATTGTCAGAATAAATGCAGCTGCTACAACCAGACACACTTTTAAGTGATGTCGCTAAAGATAAAAAAGTAGAAATTGACTATATTAATGTGTTTGTCTGGATTTGAAGCTTTAAAAAGTGCAGAAATCTTCAGAAGTTCTGTGTCAATTAGTATTAATTGAGTATATTTTCCAAAAAGATTGAAGCAGACAAATGAATGTACTTAATGTGGTGAATTACTTTACCATGGGAATAGGAAGGAATATATGGGTAGATAGAAGTTATCATGAGAACTGAAAAAAAAAAAGAAAAAAATCCAATAAAAATACAGACGAGTGGCTCAGTCCCACAGAGAAAACCTGGCTATGACAGCTCACTTTTAAAATAAACAATAAAAGGAGTCGTAAAAAAAAAAAAAAAAAACACCACCACCCCCGGAGAGTGTTATTGTTGATTATATGAGGCTGAAAGAGTGCTTTTAAAATAACCTCAAACTTTAAACACAAATAGCAAAGTGCTTATGAATTAACTGTTAGAGCTGTTATTCATTGAGCGCGGCGGATTTTTATTTTTATTTTTCCAAGATCCAGTGACTGAACTCTCATGGCTCACCTCTCGTTCTTTATCACTGAGCAGCAATTACTCCCCTCAAATTGCTAGTGGGTGTCGCGTCTTTCAGAGAGTAGAAACGTTGAATGTGATGACAGACAGACAGTAAATAACAGGGTTTGGAAATAAGGGGCTGCCAAAGAACATTCCCACTCTCTCTCCCTCAGTCTTCCTCTCTCTCTCCCTCCTGTTAATAGCAGGGAAATTGCAATTAATGTCCTTAATGGTCTTTAGTTGAGCTTTTATCATGGTCTGAGAAGGCTTCCTTTTTAAAGAGCGAGTTTTATTGTGATAATTTATTCTTTTATCAGCCATCTCTGGGGTATATTCAGGGATCTGTCAAAGGTCTGTGTACTCTGTGCCTCATCTCCTCTGTTCATCTCACATTATTTCTGCTGTTTGGAGGGAGAAATGAGAGAAGCACATTTTTTAATGAACAGCCCGGCTGAAAAGACCTTTGTCAGATTTCGGCGTCGGAGTGTTCCGGCGGCTGATGGACACGGCTGATGTGAATGAATAAGAATTTGAATTTCAAATTAGCGCTAATTTAACCTAATTTTTACTTTATGTTCCCCTTTATGACTTCAACATATTCTTCACAATGACATACAGAGGAATCAGTTACATTAGGTCCTGGTGCCACGGGCAGCATTTTAATTTGCAGGATTCAGTCTTATCTGATTCCATGATGCGCTCGTAAAGAAGTGATTCCACATTACGCCCGTATGAATGGACGTCCAAGGGAAATGACAGCCAATGAGGAAACTTATCTCCTAATTGGTAACCTCGGAGAACATTCACAGTCCTATTCACTACTTTTAGGCCTCCTACAGTGGGCCGTGTAGAATTTGGTCAATTGTCATCTGTTTCAAGGAGATAATAGAAAAAAAAATTATAGGGGGGATTCAAGTAGAGAGGCTTTGTCACCATGTTTAAACAATTAGACCAAGTATGAGACAACAGATGTTTTTAGTTCATCCTCTGATTTACAACTTCATATCACACATGAAGTTATGGTTCCTCCCAAAGCCAGCAGGGGACTTCCACTCTTGTCCTGAGGCTTGACTCAGGGCGGGGTTCGGTCATGTCCATTTCTGGAATACTTGTCTATTGAATGGTTTCGCGATGAGTCTAACGCTTGCATTTGTTGACAGACAAATGGCGGCTGGCAAGATGCTCCGACTCCTTCATCAGTGACATCACCCACAGAAGGACCCGGCAGCGTTCATTCGGATACTTCCAACTGAATATATCCATGTGTACACGTCACCCACACAAAAAGAAACAAAAGAAAAATAGACTGACCTTGCTATTCACAGTATTAAACAAAGAATTTCACCGGTTCACAGTTTGGAGAGCAACTGTGAGTTCCTACCAGAAAAAAAAATGATAATGTTTCCTCTGCTTATAATGTTGGACATTTGGGATACAAACAAACAAAAGGTTTCTCAACAAAAATGAAAACGATGCTGTAAACAATGGAGACATTTGTACAGATTTCACAGTATATTCAGAGGGCTGGGATTACTTATCCACTCGTCATGTTTTCACCCGTTATGATGAAAAGTGATATGATAAGATTAAAGAAAAATCGAGTCATTGATTTTAACTGAAAAACACGTCATTCTACCTCTCAGCCACTGAAAAAAAAGAGTAGAAAAAAAAAGCCGTCAGCGACCATTATTTGTTTTGTAAAATGAAATTTTTGTCTTTGCAAGCAAGGGGCACATCTTCTTACTTAACATTTTGTTGTCTCTCACATATTCTATGGTACGCCATTTAGACTTAAATATTGCTCAGTTGTTTACAATGTGTGCTTGATAAAAAAGTATGTTCATCTTCCCCTTCTCTGTCTCCGACCAGTTAAAACCAGAGTTCTGTCAGGAGATTTTACCTCTAAGGTAACCCTGTGAAGTATGTTATCTGTAAAACAATAAATAAATACTTGTCATCGAATTCAGACAATCTTGACATCATTCATTAGGATGAGGGACACGGACGCTTCAATCGCTTAGGTTTTGCATCATCACGTGGCTGTTTCCAAATTGCAGCGATCTCTTCCTTCACCGCTCTAGTAGAAAGGTTATTGATAAAAACCAAACTGCTGATGAAACCAAAACAGTGCTGTCAAGGAAAAGACTGGACTCATTATTACATCATGTATCCGTCTGTAAAGATTCCTCCGTCGTCCACTTCATTATCATTCTCAGAAATAGGATCTGGACGGTTTAGAAAGTCTCGAGAAAATCAGGATCTGTTGTCTTCTAAATCAGACACGTGATACTTTTTGAAACGTTTCCGCATATGTGACATTCACGTAACCGATGCTTCAAAATCTCGTCTGTTTAAAGACACATTTACCATGTGACATGTGGGCCATTCTAAACCTACGTCCATTTTGTCTGGGCCAAATAAAGGCCCTTGGTGTTGTGGCCCACATCTGCATGCTATTTGGGGTTTTTTGGCCTTAACATGTTTTTAGTAAAACACCTAATTATACTTTCCAGACAGCCCAGTAATTCACCATCCCTGTATTCTAAGACTTGAATATAATTCCCAAAATATTTTAAAAACTCACTTTTCCAACTCGCCAATTACAAAATGAGTAAATGGCGTCTGCTTGAAAAGTAAAGACAAAGGCAGCACATTTTGGTATTATCCAGTCCCCAGATCAGGTATTGCCGTGACCTACTTTTTTTGTCACGACCCAGCATTTGAGAAACGTTGACCTGACTTGCCCCGCTGTCTTATTCACCTTTGGTGCTACAGTCGGGTGAATAATGTCCCGCCAAGAGAAAAACGACAAAAAATGTCACTCTCTACTTTAAACAAAGTTTGTCAAGGACGTGTGTAACCGGGTTTGTTTTCAGCACGATGAATCACAATCCACTTAAACAGGGAAGTCATTATGTTAATGGAGTTTTACGTGCTTACACAGTGGATCCTTGCTCCCGAAGGTCCGGAGACGCGTGTAGGTTTAAGACGCTGTTGCTTGCAGTAAAAGCAGCATCTGGATCCACCTGATCTGCAGCTCAGCAAAAGACACTTTGATGTAAAGAAAACGTTCCCTTTCTGTTTGACCGTGTCCTGTTCTGGGCCTCATTTATGCATAAATCCATATATTATTCTGCTGGTTCTGCTTTAGTGACTGAAGAACTGACACCAAAACCCATGTAGACATTTGAACTATTGCTTGTCTCACTGCTACCTGCCTGATTTTTTTTTTCCAATCAATATCAAACATTTATGAAGATTGTAAATGTAAACCATTAAGCACTAAAGAATGGGACAAGTCATAATGTCAAAACAATGTGTTTTTTGAGCAGTCTAACATTGTTTATAGACACTTTTTATGTTGTGTGGCCTCTTTGTTGTTTGTATTTTTTATTGTTATGCTTAATGTTGGCTATTACCTTTTTTGCTTTCTTACTCTCGTGAAATAGCTCATGAACTTTCAACATGTGTTTATGTGCACCATTGTGCTTGACTTGCTTTGTTGGAAAGGGTTTTCAACATATTAAAAGCGATATGTCATACAGTAAGACCATACATCAGCAGTTTTTTTTTATTATGGCGTTTACGAGAAAGCAAAGACTGGTCATTACACAAATGCATCAGCCGTACGACGGTAATCACAGTGATAAGTGAAAGTCAACCAAGGTTAGCGACTGCCAGCGCACATCCACTTTTACAGCCTTGTGTTCCTCTATAATGGCTGCTGTCCAGCGTACTTTCGTGGGTGTGTGTGTGTGTGTGTACAAAGAAAAAAACACACACACACACACAAGGACACATCCACACACACTGTGTTAAAATCAGGTGCCATTAAGGAGACAAATCTTTGGCAACATCACTGTCACAGCAAAGAAAGAAAGTCAATAAAGGAACTGGGGGAGGACAGAAAGAAAGAAAGAAAGAAAGAAAGAAAGAAAGAAAGAAAGAAAGAAAGAAAGAAAGAAAGAAGGAAGGAAGGAAGGAAGAGAAAATATATAGAACACAAAGGGATTGACAAAAAATCGAGAAAAAATAATATATTAATTAATTATATATATATAAACCATCTTACAAGAATCCATTAATAGAAAAAAAATTTGGATTTTTTTTAATTGCAGAGAATCCTCCAAGAGTACCTGTTACTCAGTTTTTTGAGTCAGTCAATTACCGCCTCATTCCTACCAGAAATAATTATAAAAGCCGATAAATTGAATGTACACTACATAATTTGAAAAGGAAATTAATATACATTCGGACTTAATTAAAAGCACAGTGGAAGTCTAATTTTCCAATAAGTATATCCCATTAGGACGAGAGCACTGTGTGAAGGACAAGGGTAAAAAATAGAAGGAAGACTGACAATGACACAACCCACAGACAAGGACAAACCTCATAGACGACAAACAAAGGAGACGGAGGTGCAGAAGGACCCGCTGAAAAATTAGAAACAGCAGATAGACTTCTGCGAGCGATGGAAGATTGTTACCCAGCTTTTCCTGATATTCTTTGGTTTTTATTTCTTAGTAAGTACTTTTTTTGTGAGAATATCTGCTTTTAGGAGCTGCAGTGTTTTAGATAATGTTCAGTGGAGTTGATGCCCAAAACACATATAACATTTCTGCTGTTTTTTACAATGGAACGAATTATTAACTTCACTAAACAACAATATGCAACTGGACCAACAATTGTTATGCAGGAATTCCAGTTCCAATGTTTCAGATTCTAATTATTCCCTAAAGGAAAATAACCTTGGGGTTAAACCCAGCCATGAAACACAGCATTGATTAACTGAAGCAGAGGAGCAAAGGGCAGCACTTTACTGCTCTCAGACAGTGGATGGGTTTTGATGCATGATCATCAGACTGCAGCTCTGCTGGGGTTGGGATTTGAACCGGCAAATCTCCAATTACAAGCTGGAATACCAGGCCAGAGGCTGCTCATTGTGCATGTTATTTAATCTATATCAGTCACAATCAAACTCTCCAAGACTTTCCTCTGTTCCTAGTGGTCTCATTTGCATTTTTTAAATGTTGACTAAATAAGATCTTTTTATTTTTCATTTTCTGCAGAATATCGCCGACTACTGGCCACAAGTAGCACAATCGACTGCATTCTACAAGTTGCTATGACATATAAACATGAATAAAATAAATATGCTTCGTTACTGTATATTTCGCTACTGTTTAATATCCGTTTAACTGAAGCTAAGGCTAAGTTCGCTATCACACGGCGTCAATGCTGCGTTTATATCTGCCATGCTGCCAAACAACAACATTAATTATTATTATTATTATTATTATTATACGTTGGTGATGTTTTAATAAAAAGTGTGATATGTCAACAGTGACATATTGTAAATGTTCAGGCAAAGAAAGTTTATTGAGTTTATATGTTCGATTTGAGCTATGAAAATAAATGTAACACAACATAAGTAGCTCTTAGCCATTTTTATTTTGTAAACGTAGCTCTTAGAGAACCAAAGGTTGGAGACCCCTGATCTATATAGACAAATATATATAAAATGCCAGAAACCACAAAAAATAAAGACATTATAAAGACATTATTTAATGCATTCTTTTATACATTGCATGTTATTATAGCCGAAAAATAAGAAATGTTCCAGAGATTTTTAACGTTTTATTTTCATTTGTCAAATCTGATAAATAAAGGCAGGAGGGCAGTCTTTGTTGGTTTCTCCTACAAATAGAGAAAACAACAGGGCTGACATTATCTGGCTGGACAGTTGCATGTCTGACGGAATTACTTTCAAAGCAAGTGAATATTCATAATTGGGCAAACAACAGGGGTGAGGGTGTGAGGGATCAGTTGGCGGTAAAGTCTGTGGACGGTCACAGGCCTTGACTGTTGAGCGAGTGTGAAATGCCAGAGCCAGACTGCTCCTGTGCGCCCTGAGGGCAGCCACAGAGCCAGTCGGCTCTCACCAACGAAGAAGGCATCAAAAACAATCTGACAGGACTTCATCTAGAAACATCTCCTCGCTCGTGCAGCACGGCTCTGTGATTATCCTGACATCAACCCTGCTGCACTATCACATGAAGCCAAAAAAATAAAAAAATAAAAAAATTTCAGATTGTTGGAGGGGGGCGGGGGGGACAGAAATATAGAGTGTACTTCTAACACCTCCTCGTTCCTCCCGGGTGATAACACTGTGCAGGCTTATTGAAATCTAATGTTGCTGTTGACATCTGCCTCCCCAGCTGTCATTGTAGCACTGTTTGTAATTACAGCTGCTGTGTAAGAGCAGGGGTGGGTGGCCCAGACACCTTGTCTCCCCCCTCTACACAGAGCCCTGCAGACTCCTCTAATGTGCAGTGACACCACCAGGCCAGACCCCAGTGCTGCTGCTGCTGCAGGACTCCCTCGAACACACCAGTAATGGTGTGTTTCGCCTAGAATTCACTCTTTAACACACTTACACAGACAAATTATATTGTGCGTGAGAGACAGGGTGTGGCATCTTTACTTTTTTTTTTTAATTACAGGCCTGCAAGTCCCCCTACCCTCACCCACCCACCTCGTGTTGTTTTGATAAACAAGATGAGAACATGTTTGAGAATGTTAAGGAGGATCTGCAACTGAAAAAGATGACGTTACTTTATAAACATAATGATCTCGTTAAATAAAAAAAGACCCACAAATGGCAACTATTTGCTTCTGTCCACTAGAGGGCAATGTTTACACATTTGTTATTGTGAATCTAATATAACAGGTGAAATTTAAATAAAAGGGGAAAGGGGAACTCTATAACACTTTTTGTGTGTGTTTTTATTGCCATACATGCATCTCATGTTTTTTATTTCATTTTGTGTGTGTGCGTTTATTATGGTTTCGTTTTATTTTATTAGGGTTCGACCCGTATTTTAAAAACCAACCAATAAAATTAAAAATGCAAAGAACATGGGGCCAAGTGATCACGATAATAAAATACAGGCGTTCCGGCAAAATGTCCATGTGGGCCCCACGTGGGTTTACTTGGCCTACTTTGGGAGAGAAAAGCACGAGTTTGAACAGGGCGAACTGTGTGGTAGCATATGGTTGTCAGTTGCATTTTCCCACATATGGGCAATTTGCATGGGGTCCACTAGGGGAATGCTGACTTACGCATATGGGTGTCACTTTTTTTAGCACAATTTGCATCCACGTGTTCTCTCACACAAATGGGATTCAACATTTAAAGGGATATTTCATAATTTGTTTTTGTTTTTGTTTTTAAAACACACATAAACTAAATAATATGTTTTTGAAAAATTCAAAATTAAAGTTAAAACCATCATATACCTTTAAGTCATACACAAAACAATATTTAAGAAATACAAATATAAGCACACAAAGAGAATAATAAGTGAATAAAAAACGTATTCTAAGCCACGAATTAAGCCCTCATTCTGTATGTATGTATTCTGTGTGTATATATATATATATATATATATATATATATATATATCTTTCCTTCCTTCTCTGTCTGACCTACTCTAGCCCATGTTCAGCAGCATAGTCACTGAACCCAGCATTGGCCATTTGTGTTGTGTTGTGTTGCAGCGCCTCTAGTGGCCCATGTCGGTATGGAGGTTCATCCAGGGCAGAGAAACACTCCTTCACCATCACGCTCCTCCTCTCCTTCCCTCTGCTCTCCTCAGAAATCTCCTTCCACCACTTTTCTCGAACAAGACTGCTTTTGTGTGAAGGAAAACAACATGGCAGACATTTCTGGTCAGTCCGACAGAGGAAGCGGCGGGATCGTGGTAATTTAATAACACGTCACGGCTGCACGGCGCACACACAACAACTTTACGGTTGACTGTTGTTTCTGCAGCCACAGGCTGCAGCTGTCGAGCTACTTCGTGCACATTAGTTTTGATCACATGTGACTGGGTTACGGGCACTGAAAAAATAGTTATGCGGAAAATATTCACTTTTACCACGTGTCTACCTCAATAATCACGCCTCAAGTACGTTTTTGTTTACTTTTTCTTCAGATTAGCGACGACTGGCCAGGCTACAGTTTAGATCTCTTCTCTTATCCAGCGCACTACTCCGGAGACTTAAACAGTGTCATCATTCCACATGGCGTGATAATGGACAGGTACAAACACACACACACACAAAAATAACCCACACGAGTTTTGCGTGTGCGTGTGTTATAGCGTCTCAAACGTGGAGGCACGGTATGTTTCCGTGGATTTTCTGCTGTGGGGGGATGTCGAAGCACACGGATCATCAGAGGTCGATGCTGCAGATGTGCGGGGTCTTACGCAACCCCCGAGAGTTTGTGACGTGGTAACAAACCACTAACTGTAACATGATTTGTACAGATGTTAAACAAACACTGCTCCCTCACTGGCCGTAGAACAGAGTCACAGGAGAGAAAGTCACATTTTGTTCAATCTGAACCTTAAGTTTTCTGAAATCATTAATCGATTTGCAGTCATTTCACTGTATAAAATGTTGTTTGAAATTAAACTGGGTTTAAATATAGTTTGATATTAAACTGGCTGTCATGTGCCAGGTACAACTTAACTTTGTTTTGTTTTGCAGTACTAAGCAAATACATACATCAAATGCATAGATACATACATTAAATGTGCACAAAAATCTGTTTTCAAAAAGTATTGGTCAAATGAACCAGTCAAACAATCTCTGCAGCTCCTCACTCTGACGACTCCTTTGCGGTTAAATACCTCAGGTTGAAACCCTGTCTTTTAAAGCCTTACATGTAACATTGGATTTAGCTTTTGACTGCAGAAAGATGTTTTAGTTTAAGTTAGAAAAGAAATTGTACCCAAATTAATCAGTGCAAAACAAAAAAGCTAAATTAACCTAAACTGATCTAGAATTCAAGTTACTAGAATGAACTGTGTTATGAGTCTAGAATGAGCTAAAAGGGCAGACAAATACAGGAACGCTGCAGCAAACTTAAATGTTACCCATCAGTCATTAGTTTATCTTTCAACCCAACAGTGACATCAAACATGCCGATGAACTTTATTGATCAGAACATAGTACATTCAGTGTTACAGCAGCATGTTTTTAGGAACCATTGCCAGGATACTACAGATATTATTTTAGATTATATATTAAAAATATTATGACATTGTTCAACATATATATATATATATTTATAAAAAACAGTATACTGTAATAGGATAATACAACAACAGTGAAAACATTGGGTTGTGCTGATACAAGTGGCAAAATTGACATTGAAAATTTGTAATAAAAAAAATACTGTATACAAATATACAAATACTGTAGATGGAGGTCCAGAGAACCAGGTCTATTGTCTGTCAGTCAGAGTTGTTGTTCTATTGAACTGTGTGTTCTCACAGAGCAGGGATGATTTCCTCTAACTGTAGGAATTGTTTTTGCAGGACAGAACGTCTCGCTCGCAACATCATGGACGACCTGTGGGACCACGACATCGTGGTGCTGTGTGTACTTAAAGGAGGATACCAGTTTTGCGCCGACCTGGTGGACAGAATCAAGGACCTCAGCCACAACTCCACTCAGACCATCGCCATGAGGGTCCATTTCATCCGACTTAAGAGCTACCTGGTGAGAGTCCTGCCTTCTGAACGTGATAGTCATGATGAGAGCGGACGCTCTGTCAGATAATCAGAGCAACTATTGATGCAGACACATTAAAAAAATATTTTTCACATCCCTCTGTGTCTTATCAAAAACATTGTGAATGGAAATTGATGACACATTTGAGCAATTATATTTTATCAATTGTAACTTCCATCCATTGCTGAGCTAACCTTTAGCATATTTACTGTCCTTTTGCTATCCTTTACCTCCTTGTGGTAGGAATTTGTTTTCATCTTATATTATTGTCATTATTTTGCTGTTTGCTGTTTTTCTCTCTGTTTTTGTTAGCATGTTTTTACTAACTTTTCATTTTGACCTTATTGATTAATTTCAACCAACTTAGATTCACCATTTTTTACATATGCAACAATTGGAGTCAGTACTTTTTCTGTTGCATAATTGTACAATCAGGCAAGAACATGAACATGTTCTGTTGAAACAAGTGCTTTTAGGCCTGTTTACATTTACATGTAAACACGGACAGGTCTTGTGCTTTGAGTCACTTGTTAAGTCTTAATTAAGTTCTTCAAGAACAGTTTGTTTCTTTGTGTTTTTACATAATGACATCCGGCCCTTTTGAAAAAGTTTGGACTCCTCTGCCTTAGACAAACACTTCTGCTGAAGGGAAGACAGATGTGTTTGCCTGGTCAAAATGTCACATTTGAAATATTTGAGAACAAAAACACATTTTTCTTGTCATTATTTCAACAGAACGACAAGTCCACGGAAGACCTGCACATCGTCGGAGCCGAGGACTTGTCCTTTTTAGCTGGAAAGGTATCTAAACATCCATTCACACGGTGTAGGATGAGTTCAATTAAACATCATTTCAACAAATTGCTGAGACAAAAGAGGATGCTGATGATCGGCAGCCTCAAGGGGGCATCGTTCCCTCTAATCTGCTCCCTGTTTTTCTCACTACTGAGAAAATGGATCTGTGTTTCCTCAAGGAAGATCAGGGAGGACAGTTTGTCACAAACCCAGTCGGAAACAGATATAAAATGTTTGAAATATGTGTTTTCCACTTTATCTCAGTGGGAAAAAATATGTGAAATGTGTTCCTGTGGGTGAGACAAGGCTGAGAGTTGTTACCCCTCACTCTTCATCTATGGGTATGGTAGTATTTCATAAAATACCGAGATGTATTTTTTCATCTTCTGTCTCTGTTTTTATGGCTTAAATAAGTGACCAAACAACAGTTTTAATTCATATGTAAATACGCAGATGTCAAATGTTTACTTCATCGTACTGTATGTGCACATGGAGGACTTACTAAGTTATGCTTACCATAAGTCAGTGAGTACATGTGTTTTTGTTAGTAGTATCAACCTGTAGAACACGCGCACACACACAGAGAAGCACACAAGTTACTTAACTGTGTACACACTTACACTCAATCACACAAGAAAACACCCAGTGGCGAGGCGTGGCGTAGATGCCTGAGACATGAATAGGATGTGAGGCAGTGAGTTTGACTCACCGCCTGCTGCTCTTCCTTCTTTAGTATTTGAAGTGTTCTTGTGAAATCCCAGAGTTTCATGTGATGGACAGACTAAATTTAGTCGCCTGTTTGTCAGTAAATGTGACAATGTTATGGCTGGGTAAACTGAGGTCATTGTTGAAGAGGGAAAATGTGACATGGTGACAGGTAGTGCACCAGGAGTAACTTCTTCTTTCTGAGTTTCAAACTTCACATACTGTAAAAGGCATCAGCTGGCAAGAAATGAGAAAGATGGTTGACAACATGGTCCCCGACACTTTTAGATAAGTTTGTTTACTTCACACATCACATCTGTGAAAATAAGTCTGTAAAATGGAAGTTAAAAAAAGTAAAAAAATCTCATATATTTAACATAGAAAAAAACAAAACCTCCTGTCTGTACAAGGATAAATATATATGTATATACTGTATATTTATACATATTTTGTGGTGGACTGAATTTAACAGTTGACCTGAACTTCAGCAGCATTACGAACCAAGATAATATATAAATACATACAGAGTTAAACATATAGGAGGTCAACTGAATTTAATGGTGTTGACACGACATGTCGTCCAAAGTGCTGACATTCACGTGAGCTTGTTGAAATTGTTAATCTGACCCTGACGTTACTGTTGCATCGCCTGTTTCTAACCACTTTCTTCTCTCCCTCTCTTTCTTCTCTCACCATGCACTCATAAGAATGTTTTGATAGTGGAGGTAAGTGGAACATGTTTTTCTTTTTCTTTCTCATTAATGGAGCTATTGTTTGACGAGCTAACCAGGTCAACAGGAGCAGATATTGTTGTTCCCGTTTTGCAGGACACAAGTTCAACATTAGAAAACCATTTAATTAGGTGACCTATATCGGGTAAATTAGAGTGGTGCACAGCTGCATTTTTCCAGGGTGAGTTTTTAATTTCCTGGTTTCATTTGAACATTCACAGTTTAACATAGGCAGGTTGAGAAAACTTCACTCGAAAAATGAATCATTTTTTTGGACACAATTGAATGTACTGTGTCATATTAGTTGTTATAATGAGGGGGCAGATAAAATAATGAAAGAAATACTGCAGGGATTAGCAATTCTTCCTGGGAATATATTTAAAAGAAATTCATTTTTTCTTCAGCATGTCACAAACAACTGGCTGACAATATTCATATTGTCAGAGCCTTGGACCACGTTAAGACTGCAGGCTAAAGTGGCCCAAACCCAGTCTTTTTTTTCTTTACTCCTGCGTCATCTCTATTGAAAGCAGCAGATACAGTAACTCTATCCACTTATATAGTTCCCTCTTTAACCGACATACTGTATATCACGTGACAAGAATCATAATGCTTGCTACTTGCTATCTACCGTAATACGTGTTCATGTCATGACTCTTAGATCATCAGGACAGCCTTCAAGACTTAAATCATGTTTGAAGCAACAAAGACCTGTTCACTTAAAAATAAAGTCTTGACTGTTAGTGGCGTGTCATTGTCATAACAGAGGCTTTTTAAAGCAACAGATTGTTGGACATTTTTAAACTGATTGTTGTGATTTTTGTAATTACTGTGATTGTATTCATGGTAATAGAGTGTATTTCCAAACTGTAATAGTACGTCCACCCACCGCTACATGACAAAGAGACATAAACGGACTGCATACATAAAGACACGTAAACTTCACACAGACTTTTACTTTCGCATTGTAGTGACCTTAAGTACTTTTAAAGAAAATTCTCAAATGCAGAAAAATGTATGTAACCGGAGTGCAATGTGACCAACTTCCTCATTTTTATTTTCATTTACACTCTACATTTCTTGATTCTCAGGCCATTGTAGGAACTGGAAAGACAATGAAAACCCTCCTGAAGCACGTTGAATCCTTCAAGCCCAAACTGATCAAAGTAGCAGGGTAGGTTTCAGTTAAAAAAAAATAACACTCATACAGGAAAAAAAAAATCACCCGGTTTCCTTCTCCTGGTCTAGACAGAAATGTTATGGTTTCAGAATTAATAGTAGCTCTTGAGTCCCAGCCACACAGGTAGGGATTGTTTTCAGATGATAATGTCTGCTTTTCCTCTCCACAGTTTGCTTGTCAAGAGAGTGCCCTGCAACTCAGCCTGCCTCCCAGACTGTATGTACTGTACCAAGCCTTTCATATACTTATGAGTCAACAGCTCCACGGCTCTTTGACATTGAAACCAATTGTTGCAGCCCCGTAGTCAGTGAATCAGCGGGCTGTGAGTTTACTTTCAATTAATCTCCCTCTTTGTCTCTTATTCCAGACGTTGGCTTTGAGATTCCCAATCGTTTTGTGGTTGGCTATGCCTTGGACTACAATGAATACTTTAGGGACCTGAACGTAAGTCGCAGCCTTTTTGATATTTGATAAACGGGGCTTTGTGAGGTGAGGCAGTGAGCGTCATGGTAACCTGAATGTCATCTGTGTTTCTTGTATTAAAGGTAGAAAAAGGTTTGGACCATTTTGGGGTGCTATAAACACAGTTATACAGTGTATATATGTATGTGTATATATGTATATACATAT